GGATGGGTTCATGAAAATGTTGGGATGATGATCATGATGATTGTGACGACTACGACGATGATGAAGAAGACGATGACGAAGACGATGATGTTAATAATGATGTTGGTGATGATGATGATGATGTTGATGTTGATGTTAGCGATGGTGATTGTGATGATGATTATGGCATGGCGATGATGATGATGATGATGATGATGATGATGTGTGAATCAGTTACAACACACTGGAGGCATTAATTTTCCGAAACTTCCATTTAGATATATATAACTTAATCCATATGTGCCCTAACATATTACGTAGTAATGTTGTTGGTAATATCTTCAGATGGAGAATAAACAGAATCAGTTTCATAATAATTCAGTTAGTTAGTACAGCTATATCAGTGATACTAATAACATGCTTGGTATTTTTGCGATCATTTCCGCAATTATGTTCTAAATTCCTTAATTAATAACGTCCCAAGTTGAATTATCACGAGCCGCGTATCGAGGTTTGAGAGCATATGTTTCATAAAACACACACACACACACACACAAAATATTTATTATAGTCTCACCGGGCGTCATAGCGTTTATAATATATAGAAACGTCATAACATGTACCGTTACCACTTCACTAGAGTACGGTGAGTCGTAAAGGAAATCCACAATCCTAACTGTATGTAATTGTACTAAAAATTAATATAAACGTTATAACACATGCCGTTGACAATACAGTAAAACAATATTGTAGCTTATTGCATAATGTTTAAAACGCAAAGAAGTGATACATATTCTTCATGTTCTCAATAAAATAAAGGAATACGTAAAATAATTTTTGAAAAGATCAAATGTAGCATCCTTATAAATGGGACATTACCAAGGTACTAGTCTGTCATACAGACCCTGGAACAAATATATCCAACAAAAGCTCGTGCAAGTCTAGATTATGTGTCAAGTCTAGATTTCCAGTTTCAGGAAAATGAAGAAAGTCTCTGGGTTCCTTTTTATTATATTCCTTTTTATATGAGGAACTCTTTTTTTCAGTAAAAATATGTTCATAAAGGTACATGCTCTACTGATTAAGTTGTACAATGAAATACACATCGTTGTACCAGCATCTGATATAATCTGATCCGTGCTATACCTCAACTCAAAATTGATAGTACTGTACAATATGATTGGGGCTTTGGCTTTGACACATATAGGATTCTACTCTTACATTTTCCTGCATGAAAGTCCTGTTATTCGTAGTATATGTCTGCCCTCCCCACTCCATCCTCTATATCGTGTTCAACTCTGTCGACCTACATAGTAGCGACAAAACCCTTTCCACGTCCATAAGAAATCTCTTCTAAAAGCAGAGCCGATTGTACAATTGTGGCAAAACCATGAGTATGTATTTATTTCAGCAGTATTACAGCTGTACGATGTTGTTTGTAAACAAATCGAGTCTGGACCAGACAATCCAGTGATTGTCACCTTCCGATACGAAGATCGATAATGTGTTTATGAATCACTATGAAACTCATCCTACGTTTCACATCAAGGAATTAAGAGACTTAAGGTTCCTTTAACACTCATTTTCTCTGTTGTGGAATATTTTTGGTTAAAATTATACATAACAGTTTAGGGGAGTATATGTTGGTATACATGACAGTCAAGCATTGCTTTCTCAGAATGATCAACGCTCTCTCCGTAAACCCCAAACCCTCTGACCAATGTCTTGACCGCATATGCTGAATCGTATAATGGCATAAGTAGGCGCCATTGCAAGCTCCACAAAACTTCGCCGTGCTCTTACTACAACAAATCGATAATGGTTTTGGTGACGATGAAAGATCACGAGACATGGCTAATCACGGTTGAGACACGCGCCAGATGACTGTCTGTTCAAGCCACGTGTATATTTATCAAAAATCAAAATTCAACAACAACCAGATAGTCGGTGTCAAACAGTTCTAGTTACAACACACGTAAACGTAAACACATACAAATATGACACATCAATAATTCATTTTCATGGCCACACACATGAGATAAGGGGAGATAACCGCGTTACATCCGTTATCATTTAAACCCGTAATTAGCTGTTGTCACTGTTTGCTTATACTACTAGTGTATTTATTGCTCGCTTCACGAGTGTGCAGAATGATAAATGTTGCCGGGAGAATTTATTAATCAGATTGGTTGGGCTCCGCATACAAGTATTCGTTTTATAGAATGATAAGCTGTTGTCAACAAACATATGGTGATCAATATCTACCTGGTCGATGGAGGTTACGACGAGTATTGATTGTTACACAGATGCTAAATACATAGGATAAAAACAATTGACCTATGTTCGCTGTCATTATTTGAGGCTGAAAGGATCGTTATTTTTTATTGGCATCTAAGCTGTAATAGATAGTACTGCGCTGCACTAGATAAAAACGTCATCGATCCAACACATGTCTTTTAATTCATATAGATTTTGTATGATGATAATAATTAGCTAGCATCAATGACAGACAACTTAATGTTGGTATAAACACATAACAGACAATTTTGACAGACAATGAAAATATGTTTTCACACAGTTGAAACATATATGGTTAAAATATTTCAAAAATTCATTAAAAAATACTAAAATTTCATTGAAACCAATCAAGCGGAGAGAAATATATTCTGTTTGTCCTCGTTCAAGCGTCTACACCTTTTATAACGCCCTTCTGGCAAACTGGTCTTTGGGAACCATTGCGCTCTTATCCGTGCACTGTGCAGGACTGGTCACCCGGAACACCAGTGGTCAGTGAAGCGTCCGAACTCGTCCTCTTTGAAACCCGAGTGGATATCAGCTCACTTCTCTTTCTCACACAAAACTCCTCTTTTGTGTCCCCTGTCATTTCTGTTAAGTTTTTGCGCATATTAAATGTTTATGTACACTATAGGAGAGTGCTAGTGCACAGTGCTTACACGTCGACACATTTTTGTGAGATACAATTTATTGTTTACTCTTAAAAAATCAAACACACTGAAAACAATTTAAGAATTAAGATTTGTATCTAATTTTTATGTTTTGTCGTGGTGCTTGACACGAATCTATGTTTATTAAATAATTATTGGTTCAATTATGGTGTACTTAGAATTCAGTAAACAAAGAAACTAATTTCATTTGTTTCTTGGTTTAGTCAATAACGCGCCTCTAAAATTGTATTTGCGGTGTAATAGATTTGCTTGTTTTTTAGTCATTGTAAGTGATATACAAGTAGTTATTAAGCCTTAGTAGATGAAATCCTCAGATACAATTTTTTTTTCATATCGTTAGAATGAGGGGGATGATTATTGTTGATTGTTGCGATAACCAGAGTTGAAATAACTAACATTATATAAATGTTAGTAGAACTTGCCTCCACTTAAATTTCCTTATCGCAAACAGAATTGTTTTTTAAACAACAGAAATTTCGTTTGGCTCTAGGTTAGCTAATAATGATGAAAAATCTTTTTATATCAATGTCAAGAACATTGTATCCTGTATCGTTATTTCTCAAATTGAAACAAATGAATGGTTTTAAAAAAAATATTTTTGTGTGTTTTCCACGTTTTGCAAGTTATTCTGTTGTCAATAGCGTGCCGGCATAAAGAAATAGAGATCAGCGACAGCAAAATACATGTAACTATATATCACTACTTCATTCTACCCTGACGTGACATAATAGAAGATATAGCTATATATAAGTATTGTTCATAAAATAATTAAAAACGTTCATATGTTTTCATTTTAAAATATTAACAATGTATTCAGTAGAGATTTGTAAGATGACACGAAAATGCCACCCTTGCATAAAATGACGCAAATTGTTTTTTAATCCAATTTATTTAAGCCAGTAAGATAATCCCTCGGTTTTAAAAAAAAAATACAAACAGAATTCTTAAATGTTCCATTTTCAGGAAATTAAATATGATGATAAATTTCTAAATTAAAAAGGTTGTTTATTTATTTCGTTCGTTTATGTTTTTCTGTCGATTTGGAAATAAAAAATGCAATCCTTGGTTTATATTTATATTTATGTGTTTTATTATGTGTATTTATTTATTTATTTATTTATAATGCAGACAACAAAAACGTATATATTCCAAACTGCACGTTTTTACACGTTGTCAACGTTTGATGCCGATCAACAGAATGTGGAATGAAATAAACAATGGAGTATCGGCGTGTACAATAACACGATGTTTGGCCTCGGTGCCAGCGTAAGCATGGGTCCGAGCAGGTCAGCTGTGACTTATGCTGTGTTGTTGCTTGTTCGAGTCATGGTTGACTCTCACTGGCCGGGGCACGAATTTGGGCCATGCTCGATCACCCCCACAATCTCTTACAAGTGCTGGTCGTGTCTGACGCTACCCCTGAGGTCGCAACGAATTCCCACTCTCGCTATCTCCCGGTTATATTTTTAACTGTTAGCCTGTGGTATAACTCCCCCCACCTCCCTCTCGCCTCGCGTGAACTCTGCATGCCCTCGCGGTACTGACCAGTCCGCGATATGCAATGCACGGTTATATGGTCAGTGCAGTGTAAACACACAATGACACTGATATATAGACAGCTCATATCGAACAGTCATAAACGTGTATATAGTTACGCCGGAACGACATGCGAACTATCCTGTATGTCCATCGCACGGCCAGTCGCGACCTGGTCGGAGCATGCGAAATCGCCACTGACCGTTGTAACAACATGAGGTAAACAACCCGCTGAAATAAACACAGCGGTCAATACAGACGCACGTCTTAATCACAACACAAACTTCACACAATCACCTTTTCTTTATAATTCATCACCACTCCCATCTATCTCTTAATTGCGCAATACAAATAGAAACGATAAGTGTTTTCGATCTCCGCGATGTAATAGGGTCACTTCTCTGAAGTCCAAAACGAGGCTGTCACCTTTTGGCCTGTAATGCAACCACTCTGTCCTTACGCAACCTTGAAGTGCGGGACCCGTCAGCCAATGAGCGGCCTGCCCGTGATGTCAGCGCGCTTCGGCTGGACATGCCTCGTTCCGAGAAGGCCAACCCGATTGGTTAGCTAATTTTGGATTACGTGATCTTCACTGAGGGCGATTTGCGATTTGCATACATGGTACACCCTCGCGTCATTTGGGGTCAGAGAGCCAACGATAATGGACCTGTGTTCACGTACATTACACCACATTGTATGGCTAACATTTCATGGCTGTTTGTGACAGAGCGATCCGGCGAAGAGGGCCCAGCGGCTAACAAAGGTACGATATAGCTAGCATTTGTTGTGATCCAATCTGTCTGTTCTATGGGCAAGCGGCCAGCGCTGTCGACTTAAAGTACACATCAACTGACCCTCGTCCTGAGCGTTGAGGACGGAACAGTAATCGCTTACATAGCCTCTCATACCAGTACGTAACAACCGGATAATGCCTCTATTTTCATTTCCCTGTTCCTACTCGACCTCCCATACATGTGTTAGTGTTTATCGTTTTTCCACGTAGTGGAGTGGTGGGAAAATCCTCTTATTCATTGATCAGTACTATGAGAAAAACTACGGCCTTCACTCGCCGCTGATGTAGTCGTCATTACATAGTGCTATATCTCGCCCACATTACTGTTGTTGAGACCCGAATAAAGGCAGTTTTATCAGTGCGTCACCGAGGACGGATAAGGGCTGTGTGAATTGAAAAGCTAGCGTGATAGGCGAGAGTTGTGTCGTGTGTATTACGTACTAGCGCTTGAATGTATCACCATCTTGGTATGTTTTGGTTACAGCGTGAAGGCCACGAAGCTGTGTAAATGGCTGTTTGCCAATAGGGGAGTGCAGGGGGAGATGGCGGAGTGCGGGAGTGATGCTTCTACGGAGGAAACTACACTGCAAGCATCACATAAACACGCCACGAACGGACACTCCCGCGGAAGTAACGGTGTCACTGATAGAGAGACATTTTCGGAGAAGGAGAAGAACATGGGAGGAGAGGACGAGAGGAAGACAATCGTGCAGGATATTCCTTTGGATTTTTCTGTGAAAAGGAAAAGTGTTGAGTTTATCTCAGAAAGTCTGACAGACGATTCTCAAGTGTCGTCAGTGAGCCCACCTGCCAGTCATGGATCACATGAATCGGGCCCAGAACATAAATCCAACGAAACTACCTCCAATGGTTCCTGTCGGTCGTCAGACTTTGATCCCCGGGGGTCTTTAAGACTGTCCCCCAACTCCCTACCCATGGGCCTTGTCCCTGGGATGGGATCAGGCATGATGCCTAATGGGCATTTGCCAAATATGCCTGGCTTTATGGACCAGAGACTATTGCAAGGGAATAAGAATTCTCGTCCATTCAAGAACTACCCCAAAGAGGCGTTGTCGATGCCCCTGGGGTATTACGGGGTGGCAGGGATGCCAATGCCGCAGACAGACGGACAGGCATTACAGGGACTCAATTTGAGTTCGGATGAAATTATGAACATATATCAACAACAACTCCAGGTGCTTCGGGAACGAGATAAACAACTTTTAACCATGGCAAAACAACACATGCGTGTAGAACCAACGAGCCCGACACGTATGGGTGCCAGCAGCAGCGGCAGCAGCAACAACGGAACAACGACATCGCCGCCTCTGCCAAACTGTGTGTCCCCTAAACCCCGTCTCCCCCCTCCTTCAAGCCGCCCAAGCCCTATGGTCTCGAGTACATCTGCCCTCACAGCGGCAGGGCGCAAGCGGCCAAGGTCCTTACCAGATGAGCAAAAGGATTCCGCATACTGGGAAAGAAGAAGAAAAAACAATGATGCTGCGAAAAGGTCTCGAGATGCACGGCGAGCAAAAGAAGACGAAATTGCAATCCGCGCTGCGCTCCTGGAGCAAGAAAACCTCAAACTCCGAGTGGAGGTGGCAGCGCTGAAAACAGAGACTGCCCGACTTCGGTGTATGTTGTATAACAGTTAGTGGATTCCTTGACCACTGGTCATCAGCCTATCTACCTCAGCAATGGACACAGGTTCGTCAGTCTACTACCTCAATCCTTGTCTCGCTTTGTATCCTACGTCTTGCAGGGGGTTTCATAGATATGTTGTTTGCCAATTTTATGCAAATGTCTTACGTGTTTATTAGTCATCGCTGTGTGTTTACGCAACTCCTCCCCTGCGAGCATGGGACCTTGCTAGGGGTGTGCTCGGGTCGTGTTTACAGCAGCCATCTATCCATTCATACCCTGCTGTACGAGCCGCTGAGCACTACCGGTCACGTGACCTCTCAGCTGTTCATTCATCTGTATATGCTTCAAGACTCGACATGCCCTCTCCTGAGGTAGGTTCATCGACGGGTTGGAACACCCACTACTGAACGGGACATGCCACTAAACTGCCGGACGTATCGGCACGTTGTTGTTACCCATGTACATATAATGCATAACTACATACAATTCTCAGGGACTGGTAAACTGCTCCGTGTTAAAGTCCCCAGCTGTCGTACCCACACTAAAAACCACGCCCAGCTATTATCCCCAGCCCTCAGTGCAGTTCGTAAGAGCCAGTGCGGTTCATATAATCTTGTTTTTCTTGACTCAGGATTGAGTCACAATGAATAAGAAATAGGGCGCAACACGCAACACAAAACCTCAACCCATCCCTCCTTCTCCCCCATTCATCCGACAGGTTCATTTGGTTCGGTGAATTATCTTCCTCGGGTGCATCCGAGTGCAACCAGAACGCTTAAAATGTTAATAAGTTCGGCTTGATAGATCCATGATTCTTGAAGCCAGGTAATCTAATCGACAGGTGTAGCAGAGGAAATCGACTTTAGCTAGCTATTGCCATTGATTTTGTAATTTGATGTCTTTGCTTAACACGGACCTATTGTTCCTTCCCATTTGTTATGCACGTAGATGTTCATCGTCAATCATTAACTATGCCATATTACTTACTACGAGTGTATTGTCATGTCCTATTTGTCCATGCGCCCTTTTAAAGTTTGTCTTCTCAGTGTCAAAGTTGTTTTCGCATTTTATACCAGATCAAGTGCTCCACAACTAATGAGTGTTGCGAAAATTTAATTAGTGCTCGAAGATCTCAGTTTCGGTTCTCGTGAAATTGAATTCAATCTCACTTTGGAAGTGCTATTTTTCCCGAAAGGAGAACTGTAAATTTGATAAGCTTCATATTAAGTGCTAAGTATTTTTTTTACGTGTCCATTTTTGCTATGTGTATTGAGTGCTGTTGAATCTATTAGTGCTAATCAATGGTGTGCTTTGATGGCGTGTCCAATCGAAGAAATACAAAACATTTTCCCACAAGGTCGTGCACCATATAAACAGCTGGCTGTTGCACACGTGGTAAAGTGCTACGAAATTAGGTGATTTCTAGTACCCCATCGTGAGATGTTTAGTGTGTTGCAAGACCTTGCCCCCTCTCCTAGCGGTGGCCTTATCTGCCTCTTCTGTCCCCTACTATGTGACAAATCAGGAGTTTTTAACACGGAACAGTTTATCAAGGTTTTGCATTGCGGTTGTCATGAGTGCGAAATGTTAGTATGTTTGTAGGTGAATTAGTATGTTGGCTGGCGACCAGTGATTCATTTGTTCACATAGACCTTGTTGGCTGTTGTACGCAATCAAGCGAACAGCCATGATTATTGACGATACGGGTGTGTTTTATTACGATGTTCCCAGTGCTCAACCACGGAAGCAGAACGGCACCTTGCCCACTTCCAAGTTCCAATCCAATATTCATAATTGTACACAATTCACGGTCTCATGAAGGAAGTGTTTTTAACTCAGGGTTTTTATCCGAAATATACAACGTTGGATAAATTCGGATAGATACTGGTATATTTGTGTGGATACGAATAGATTGTGTTAGACGCAACCCAATACCCTGTTTTCAGATCTGAACTGAGTGGTACTGTCAGGTCAATCAAAATACTTGTGTTTTACGTAACACGTGATTAATAGATTTTTGTTCATAGATCGGTTTCGATGAGTGCTCTTGACGACCAGCTTCAGATGTGATAATATTTTCAGAGTCGCAAGATAACACGAGTTGATTTGGTTACTCGAAACACAAGTATTTTGGGGCCTTCGATTATATAGATATTGAACCTTCACTCTAGAGTAACTCTGTTGTATTTATCGTAGATTTTGCTGTGTAGGTCGTTAAGGTAGCTCTCTTTGTTCACGTTTGTGTTTTTATAAGTGTACTGTAGTTATCTGAACGAGCGTGTGTGTAAGTACATCAATATGTATGATTGTTTCTTCCTCTGTTCCACTGTAATATATCATAAACTGACGACTTGTGCTTGTTTTGTAGACCCTTCATAATCGTTGCCACACACGAAATCACCAAGGGTTGTGACGAACGGTATTACGGGTAAATGAATGCATTTTATTCCAAAACGTCATATTAATTCATTTTAAGCCATACTCACACAACACGGTGAATGTGCTCAAACACTACGCCAACACAAGATTACTTCCAACGCTTTCTAAAGTAGGCCTGGTTACTAAGTTTTAATAATCGAAAACAGCTGCACATGTCAACAGGTGAAAATCATATCAGAGAACTGTAATGCATAACTGATTAATGGTCTTCAACCTGGAAATGCGAGGTAACTCGTTATTCCTTCTGGTCATCATAAAAATCGTTATTCTGAAACACTGAAGATAAACTTCATCATTAGGGAACATGCCCTGGGGGTGGTCATTATGACGATCCCTTCATAGCGATTGTAACAGTGATTGACCTCCGGGATGATACACTGCATTTATCTCTGGATTGGTTTGAAACATAACAAACATTCTATTTCGGGGGCGCTCGGTTCGCTTTGGCACTTGTTTTCAACGTCATACCAGATTACCGTATATGGTATTTAACTGTGCCGTACAATCGGCAACATGCTCCACAGTAAGCACCAAAAATTATTCGAGAGATTACATCTTTGTATTTTTTTCACATACTATTCCTTTAGTAATCAATCTGTTGACAAATCATCTTTCTCCAGCCAAGGCCTGTTACTATGACAATTGTCCTCTCAGCAGTTCATACTGTTAAGCATGTGCGTTCGTATTGAACAAATCCCCTTCAAATATTTTCTGAAATGGAGATGCTATTTTGTATACAATTTGATTACCGATTTACCAGCATTCATGAGACCAACCACACCAAGGGGCCTGCGCTAGTTACTGTGTGTTTGTGTCGTTGTAGTACTGTTTCATTGTAATAGCTATTTTATTTGTGTCACTGCCAATTTGGGCATTTGCCTTTGTTAATCAGTGTAGTAGCAGTGGTCGGCTCTGCAGTTGTAATAAGTTGTCTAACTGACAGCTTCTTTCGTACACACTATCTACCTCACGACTACACCCATGGGCAGCTGGTGTTGGGGGCTTTCAAAGTAATATTGTTATTCCACCTGCTGTCCATGGGAATGTTTCACAGTCCCAATGTCTGCTCGCTCTCCTCATTTTGTTCTCAGGGAATTACATCATATGTAGTGTTGCTATGTACATTATCATTGTGTGTATCCACTCGCACCAAGGGCGTGAGAATTATACACCACTGTGTTTATCCTGTACTCATTGAATGTATGTATATTGCACTGTCACTTTGAATTTGAAGGTTACTACTTGTTTTGTACATTTTCTAAAAAATATTCATGTTTCAAGTTATTGTCCTTACTGTTATGGATTCACCGATGACATACATCATGCTGGTTTGGTTTTTCAACTTTATTGCTCTAGAAACCATTTCCTTCGTTACCGTGGAAACCAGCTCAGCTACGCGTCTGCACGTTGTCGTGCCCTTGTTTTGTAATTTCAATCTACGACACTTAATATCCATCACTGACGCAAACGAGTCCACAAATATCTTTTTGAAATGAATTTGGCTGAAAGCATTCCAAGTTAAATGTGGCATAGAAAATAGATATCAAGACTTTCACCGACCCATGAAGGGATGTATTGTGATTGAAGCTTGATAACTTGTCGTTAAGAAACTAGTCTCGTAAACAACTAAGTAACGAAGTTTCAAAGCATAGTCGTCATATGATAGGTGACCGTCAACTAAATATGCTCAATACATCTCCGTCGTCATATGATAGGTGACGTGAACTAAATATTCCCTTTACATCTCCATCTTTTGAATAATATATACGTGAAATATTTTTCGTCCCCATCCTTTGCGCATGAAATCGATCTATCTTATTGATGCATGTGGTTCGTTAACAAAACGCATAATTCGACTTGGAATTTTAAAGTACTATGGCTTTGTGTTGACTGTTCGGTCGGATACTTGTGAAAGGTCATAGAAAGTTCATGTTAAGGATTCATGCAGCAGTTCTGAAATGCAAGATAACTGAACACATGTGTTGAGAAAATCAATGCCAGCAGGTGCGATATCCAACACATGGCGTGTTTTGCGGTCGTGGATGTTAAGTGTTGCAGAATTGGTTTAATATTATGTGTCAAGAGTTCATTTTAAAATAGTGAACATAAAAACTTGAGTGTTTAAAACCTCGATGTTAAACAGCATATGTATGTACATATGAAGTTCAATCTCATGAGTGTTTAAAACCTCGATGTTAAACAGCATATGTATGTACATATGAAGTTCAATCTCATAATTACTATCATCAGTTGATGCCATTGTTGTGTTGAAATATGTTATGTCTTCTTAGGGTCCGTCATCGTCCTATTGAGGACACAGCATGGTATTTGTTAGTGTCAATACAGTGCTCAAAGTGTTGTATATTGGGCTAGTTTCTACTATTTGGATGACTATTACATCACTTTATGTCATACAAACATGGTGCACTTCTGACCGAAAACCGTTTCATAGAAATCCACAAGTACATTATCATAGCGTGGCCCTGTTCATTATATGAACCAGCTGTATCATGAGGGGTTACATAAAGCTGCTATTAAGTGCTATTTTGTGTAGGCATTTGAGAGTATATGTGGTACTAATCATTTGAGTGCTTTGAGGCCATTGGTGCATACCCTTAATCTTTGATAAATGGCTTATGCTTCTGACATACTTCATGTAAGAAAATATTTTTGTTGATACTTAGCGAGGTGCAAATTATTTCCGAAGTTTAAAATATTTTTTATTTTTTTCTGTGTATTATTTATCAAATTTGAAATCAACACAAACATGTTTGGGTTATTTAATTCTATGTTTTCATTCATTAAAATTAACAAAATATAGCGTTAGTTGTTTTGACACAGAAAGGTCGTTAACAGTGATTAGTTTAAACACTTGATGATTATATTACCAACTTTCGATTTGAGTTTTCCTGACACTTTAATTCAGAAGCAGCACAGAATTAATACGTTGAACATCATAATAGATAAAACGAATCAAACAGAATTGTCCACTTGGTTAAGATTGAATTTATTTATAAGCATTAACGCATTCTCATTTATGCGTTTTGCAAAGGAAAACGGGTTTATTGTGACTTTACAGTAGATTAGACATTGTATATTTTCATCTTACTGTCATTGATTGCATGTTCATGTATCGCAACAGACAGGCGATTTGCCTATGCGTTCGTAAGCCTAAATATATGTACCACGTGGTGTGCGCACACTCTACGGAAGTGACGCAACTATGGATGACAGTGCAGATTTAATTATAGTTGCTGTGACTCTTTGACCATGCAGTTATTGAGCAGATCTTTTAAGCTAAGAAATTATTTTAGTCTGCAATGTGTAATTGTAACCACTTTGTTCTGATTTCAGTTGTACTAGTTTCTTTCCTGTTAGATTATTTTAGTTTGATATGCAAGCTCACAACTGAGCGCCACAATGTGATCCTACAGTGAAGAGATGGGGGCACTTGTTCGTGAAATGTAGTGTACATTTTATATTCCCAAAAGTATATTTTTGATGTATTGGGGAAAATGTGCACATACTTTCCATTTAAAGCTATATTCCTCATATTGTTATTTTTCATACGATATTTGCGTGGATGTGCTGTATGGTGACTTAAATTAATAATATTTACCTTCTTGATAATATTATTGCCTATGTACATGTCAATTGGTCGTATTGAAACGACCATAGTTTCATTCATTGATTTTCAACAATCATCATATCCAAAACCGAATATCCCTGATCAAGGCCGACGAATGATGTCACAGAGCCCCAATGGAGAATAACGTAGTATTGACTTATGGTATATTCTTTTCGCGCTAAGTAGCGTTTCGGGTTTTATGAAACTCCTAGGTATTTATCACGAGAAGCCTTTTCACTTCACATCGACTTTTCAAACGCGTCCATTTCAGTGCTGTTTCCATATTCAGCATTTCATTGCATTTCATGCTCAGAAAAGAAAAATCAAAATTATAGTCACATGAACATTCGCGTATCTCATATTTGTTGACCTTATTAGTAAAAAGGTAAACAAATTTCGTTAATCAATTTCGTTGTTCATGGTCAGCAACGTCCATAACGGTTCGTCTTTCATGTCCACATCCTCCTGTTGATCAAAACGTGATTGTTACGGGTGTATGGTCATATCATAATATGCATGCCTTGTCGGTCCATCTACCTCGTAAACATATCCATTCCCGTAAGTATTCGGTAATGTCCGTTACATAACGGAAACGACCGAAGTGTTCCGAATGGGAACTCGAGTGCCTGTTCTCTAATGCACCCATCTCTTCACTTGTAATATTATATGCGAGTCTGCGGTCCCTATGTAGCATTCTGATATTGATGAGCGGGTATGTTTGTCGGGTCAACCATCAGCGGGTTTTTTAACCTACCTCACTTTCTCAAAACTCTCACATATATATAGAGTATTGTTATTTATGGAGAATGTTTCGCCATGAAGCGAATTTTATTAAAATCTGTAACACGTTGATCTGTGTTTGTTTTGCTTTTGTCAACACACATGGTTAATTGGACATGTTTTTAACAATCCCGGAGGAGATTTGCTCAATGGGTTCAAACCCCCACTCAAAAGACTCTCGTCCTTTTCAATGGATGGTTGGGTCAGTGTGCCTACCCGCACTTGTGATAGTGTCATCTTCTTAAGTAGTCCACCCGAACCGTGGCGAGTATTTTACATGTATTTTTAAGCAGGAGAAATGGGTGAGGTATTTCTCTGATCGATAGCCAAATGGGAAAATCGCTTGAAAGACATTTCTATCTCGTCTTTGTAAATATCTGTCGTCAACGACGTAATGAATTATGGAGAGGGCTTGGCCACGGTGAGGACGGAGGAGCCACAGAAACGGGCGTGCCTTTTCCAGAAAATGCCACACAAAGACTTTAAAATGCCAATTTCGATCTGTTGATTCCTTTTCTAGAAAATGCCACACAAAGACTTTAAAATGCCAATTTCGATCTGTTGATTCCTAGTTTTTGAAAACCCAAGTGCGTATGTTGGGAGATCTCTTATTTGCATAACACATGAAAACTAAGATTGTTGATAAGCTTTTTGACTGTGGGGTAATTCCAGGTTGCTGGTTATCAAGATTTAGAGTATGTGGTATGAGATATGACTATTATTGCCTTTAATCTTGCCCGATTCAAAAGAAAACTATAAAATCTGTACAAAATGTGCGTAGTGTTTGCCAGTCTTTGTGGGATATTTATGAATCTATGTGTAAATATTATGTTGCCCTCAAAGCATGAAGCTATCAAAAGATCTGCGTGTATGATGTAGTAATGACCTCAAAAGATGAATGACCCCAAGTGACCGATAGCTTAGCCCAGCGACCTGATAATACGGAGCTGGAATTACACCACCGGTTATGTAAATCTCTCGGGAATTCGAGACGCCATTATGCCAACTGACCAGCAAGGCAAGTAGGCCATACACCACGTAATGGCCGCAGCGGTCAGTGATGATACTATGTGTGAATCACGACCTTGGATGACCAGTGGTCCCAGTCGGCTAACATAAACAATAGCTGGACAAATACGCGTCATCTTTTTGTCAACTGGACCGGATGTCTGGCATATTCAGACATATAACACGAGTTCAGGGCAAGCGTAGAGGCTCCAAATGTAACAGAGGACAGCGTGAAAGTTGTAGATAGTGCCAACAGAGTGACCAGCTATTGATCTCAGAGAGAATATCCTTCGGCCTTGAGCGGTCAGTTGGGTCGATATAACGCACTGTGGCCGACAAGCAAACATCGCTGGACACTTCAAGCTTCTTACACAGATCATAATGGCGTCATTCCGGCGGGCGCTTGTTGAAATGTGCCGCCATGTTGGATGCTGATGTTTAAACCTCCGTGCACATGATGGAGAGGCAAGGGGTTCGAATATGGGAGTAGGTTTGCAATCACTTGACCACAAATATACTGTCGGGATTGCAGTTCGGAAATTGACGCCATGCATCCGCCAGCTGGTCAGAGGGGCATATTTGTTGTAATCCTGAAGGTTAAATCAGGCTATTGATCAGAGGCACCTGGGTCCATCTGACACATGGGTGAACTGGCCGTGCACTCGTGGTCAATAATCATATAATAGTTGCAATGACCTTGGTATTGAGCCACGTAACGCCCCATGGCATTTATGACAAGTAACACCATAATGCCCTATGCCGAACAACGCCTTGCCTTTAATAAGAGAAGTTTCCATCCGCGTATAGATCGAAAGAAGAAAGTCGATCGGCTTGTCCGAAAACCTAGTGCGTTTCACTTGGACCACGAATCATTTAGGACACGTAACGTAAACAAAATCCATACATGACCATTCGAATTTGTCATGTCGCATCGAGATGATTATTCAGGGCAAGAATTGAATACCTCAGCAGCTGTTTGCAACAAGGTTGTGCCCATGCAGATTGCATTATTCCAATAACAAAGGCAGGTATGTTGATAACAGAATGGCGACACGATCAAAGGTAGATGTGGATATGGAGTCGTGGTGTTATATTCAGCAGTTAATGCTTGAGTACACTCAATGATAGACCAGTCATAGCTGAATTAGTATAGACTGACAGTGTGGGGGTGTTTAAATTGATGTGTCAACGTGTATGTTGATAGAATGTCGGGATATTGATGGGAAAGCGTGGTTAGAGATGAAAGGTCAGAGTGTACATGGGTGGGATGTATCTGTAGGCGGATGTGTTGGTGTCCGTTGATGTTTAAGAATGTACATGTGGTGGATAAGTCTGTATGAAAGTGGATGTGTTGGTGGCCGTTGATGTTTAGGAATGTACATGTGGTGGATAAGTCTATATGAAAGAGGATGTGTTGGTGTCCGTTGATTTGTAGGAATGTACATGTGGTGGATAAGTCTATATGAAAGAGGATGTTAGTGTCCGTTGATTTGTAGGAATGTACATGTGGTGGATAAGTCTATATGAAAGAGGATGTGTTGGTGTCCGTTGATTTGTAGGAATGTACATGTGGTGGATAAGTCTATATGAAAGAGGATGCGTTGGTGTCCGTTGATTTGTAGGAATGTACATGTGGTGGATAAGTTTATATGAAAGAGGATGTGTTGATGTGTAGGAATGTACATGTGGTGGATAAGTCTATATGAAAGAGGATGTGTTGGTGTCCGTTGATTTGTAAGAATGTACATGTGGTG